AAGACGTCTCCGGGAACATGATCCGGTGGAGTGGCACCCTTCTCGCGAACCACCTCACCCATCTGATAGCCAATCACACTTTCAGAGCAGTGCAGGCCAAGATGATGGTCTGGATCTATTCGAGCGATATAGGCCTGAAAGAAAATTTCTAAATACTACTACAACGACCAGATAAAACAATGCGAACGCCAAGCCTACCTCGAAGAGTGAGAATATCTGTTGGTCAAGCTCCTCCCAGGCAACGTCTTTTCCAGGTATTGCCAAGAAGCCGATGATAATCTCATTGTCTGGGCAGATGGCGTTGCTAATAACGCCACGTAAGTCCACATTCACTGTCACCTTCACAGAGTTGCAACCCGACGATCCTGGAACGATTTCAGGATGAATTTTGTGCAAAAATTCCAATCGATATCCTTCTTAGTTATGATAAAATGGGCTAATCCCTTTGCTTCTTTAGGTTTTACGCTATCATGTAGACTGAAGCGCTCTTAGATATGGCTTTCAGCACTTGAGGAGGGGCTAAACAACCGCACCCATGTCACGAAAGTAAGACTTAGCGGAATCTTTGGAATGGTATCTGCCATGTTCAGGTCACTGGGCATTTGTTAACAATTATCTGCAACCACTCCTGTTGGATGTTTCAGTTGTAAGCAACCCCTATTCCGGATAACGAGAAGAGCGTCGAGTGCAGACCACACACCACAAGTGACGACGGCCAAGAAAAATGAAAAGAAAAGCACTTTTTTCTTGGCCGTCGTCACTTGTGGTGTGTGGTCTGCACTCGACGCTCTTCTCGTTTTCCGGAGAAGAGGGTAAATGATTTTGTTCCAAGGATTTTATGTGAGGTGGGCGTGCTCTCAGAAGTTTCACGCGGCCAAAAAACTCAAAATGCGTGCTGTCGTCAATGTATTAATGAAGAGCTTTGTTAATGAAGGGTTAAGACCTGTAGCCATAGAAAATTTAAGACCTACTTTTACTTGAATAACTGCCACTGGAACTGCTTGGGGGTGCTTCGTAGACGGGGTCTTCGTCACCAAGCATAGGGATAGAGGCTTGAGAAGAGGCTCTTGAACCACGACCGGCAAGCAGTCGTGACATATCGCTTTTCAGCTGTTTGTTCTCGTGCTGAAAAGTACTCTTAATCCTAGGAATTATTGGGGAAGTGGTTGTGGAGATTTGATGCCATGAGTGAGTGATATCAGAAGAAGGTAGAAGGAACAATCTTTAAGTTGAAGAAGCAGAATGAAAAACCAAAATAAACTGGAGAAAAGTACAACTTCATACAAAACTACCAATACAAACACTTGAAAAAATATCAGGAACGCAGCCTTGCAGGCGAAGTAAGCGGTCTGTTGCCGAAAGCCATGATGGAGGGTGTGTGAATGAAGGGGAGGGAGAAGAAATGGAAGAATGTAGAAGTATGCAAGAGAACAGCAAAAAGTTGGGAGAATGTATTCAAGGAAATTCCGAAGGTAACATTTGCGATGCAAAAAAGGCCAACTGAGTGCAAAAGAGGGAAAGAATAAAAAAAATCAGACCTTCAGTCGGTTCACAGTTTCCCTCAGAATGTCAACTTCTCGAGCCTTGTCCAAAGCGTCCAATCGGATATCGGTCAGAGCCACGTCGCGATCCTCCAACTTCTTTCTTCAGCTCGTCCACTTCGACTTCTCCATCTATACGTAATACAATAACTGGCTTGCTTTGTAAAGAAGAAATTTTTGCCTCTTCAATATAGTGTTTTTATCCGAAACTGATCGGCACCAGAATTATCGGGGTTGCGGTAAGCCAAAGTGAATAGTTATCAGTTTTTTATAAAGTATTCCCCACGAAATTTAGATTAGTTAGTGCTTCTAAAACAACGTTCTCAATCCAGGTGATTAGCTTCGTGAAAACTAATGATATTCATTAGGTCAGCCCCCTTAGGAGCATTTCAACAACCAACAGTACCTTGACGATGATCCACTGATGGTGTTCAGCGCATGGTGAGGTGAGCTCTCCGTGTCCGAAATGCCACCATGTTTGCTCTTCTTTTTTGAGAACGCCTTGGTTAATGAAGAGCGAATCTAAAACGACAATTCAATTAATGACCAACTAATCCAAGTCGATTGACGAATCTGATATAGAAATTTCAAGCCACCAACAATCACTATCACAAAGCAATGACTTCACTACAAAACAATTTACCTGTACATCGACACCATTAGTCTAAAAAAGAAGTATTATAATGACGCAATGGTGAAGAACGAAAGGAATTTGTCTAGCACTTAAAACAGTGCCTGCTAAGGCACCTCTGATATAACAGAACTTTTTGAATAAGGTGGTGCGGTGACTTGAACACTTAACTTTTCAGATCTTCCGTGAGGTGAATGTTACCCAGATTAACCAGGTTCCAAAACCTTTTTGTGAGTAGCTGAATAGCACCATTACCTTTGAGACCCAGAATACGTTGACACAAAAGCCGATGGATACAGAAAGTGATCGTGCAGACTAATTGTGCTCAATTCGAGCCGTCTCAAGCACATCTTACTATTTCATAGCTATTGGGTTGTTACCGAAGTAAGTTGTAAAACTGTTAAATTTCTTGTGCCTTACGAGGTTGTTTGGTGGAACAGTTATTTCAAAGGCCTAACGTTTCGACTGAATCGTCGTCTTCAGAGGCCGACGGTTCCACCGTATGAGCGGAAAAGTCCGCTGCCACACTAGAGCGCTGGTCAGCTGGAAGTCTTCCACAATCAAGCAACCTTGTGAGGCACACTAAATTTTATAGATTTACAACTAATATGGCAGGAAGAGGGAAGTTATAGAATGCAGCAAAGTAAGTGCCTCCATCATGTCACCACTCAGCTTGAGGTCTCGGGGTTGCTACACTTAGCAGGCAGATCGCAATTAGTCTCATAGTTGAAGCCGGCGGCCAAGGTCCGGATATTACAAGCAATATTAAATGCCTTCAATTATGTTGTTAGCCAATTCCAACTCACCCAGCTCTTCTTCGATTTGCCAAAACTGTTCAGACTGCTTTTATCGGTCCGGCTTGACTTGCTCGAGGACGACATTGAGGATCGTGACTAGCCAGAGAGGCTACGGACTCTAACGATGGCTGACGAAGAAGCTCACCGGCTCCCTCCTGCAAAGCAGAGCTTTTCTCCCACTGAATAATTCGTCCAAGAATAGGTACAAAGTAAGCATAATGTGGTAGTACACTGGTGTGCAAAACTTAAGGACCAGATAGATAAATTGTCCTAACTTATTAACAATTAGATGGAATTGGATGAAACTGTACGGGCATAATGCTAGAAGCCCTACAGTCATGGGCACCGAAGTGGGCCTCATATGTCTTGCATCCGGCTTCAATCTGGAGCCTAAATGGGGTGGCCACCCAGAACGATGGGTATCGTGGGGCAGGACAAGAGGGGTAAACTAAGCAGGGAGAAGTGACTGTGGAATGTAGTGGTGTTCTTGATTACATCAAGTCTCAGAGACAACACTAGGGTGACTTTACGCGAGGAAGAATCATTGGGAAACTGAAAAAAGGAAGTTGTGTCCAGGAGTTTTGTGTCAACCACAGCATTGTTTTTTGTGCATGAGAAGCAATGTGGACCGCAGCCACTGCTGTCCCAAGAAGAGGAGGTTGTGGGTCACGAACAACCGCAGCAGCAGGTGATTGCTAGGTTTTGCTACAGGCAAAAATGGACCCACGTCAGTCACATGCTGCAGTTGCAAAAACATTTATCAGGATTGTAAGGCATGTAATCCCAGTCCGGACAGTGGCGCAGTGACCGCCTAGGAGTGATCTCTCTCATCGATCAACAATACCTGTATTCATTTGAAATCCACGCCTCGGCTGGGACATTTGGTACGAGCCGAGACATTGGAGATGGACCACCGAATTGAAAAATCGCGTATTCTTCCCGGTCAAGAGCAAACTGAATGTGAGTAGTGATTCTGGACTTACCTGCATATGGGGAAAATAGGAACGTGTAATCTACCCAGGACCATCGTTTAACATGATTGTTTTGGTAGTGCATGCGACATGATGTGGGGAGGCATAAAGTTGTCGGGGCGTACTGATCCCCAACTCATGATCGCGTTACACTTTCTGATCAACGTGATTGTGGTGTTGTACCCTTCTGTCATGTGCATCTTTCCAAGGGTTCCCTTGCCCTCAGCTTCAATCGTATGGAGGGCAGTGTGCGAGAGTATCGAGCAGCCTGGGTGGAAAACTCTTGAAAAGTGAGGATTTTCGGTAATTGGTGAAGCCATTTATTTCCTCCAGTCTAATTCTATGGAGCACGTGTGGCGTGGATTCAGATGAGCTATTGTAGCACATGACCATGTGCCAACAATAGTCCTGCAGTTGTCAATCGCGGTCTCCAAGGAATCGGTCACTTCTCCTCAAGAACTCTTAACTAATCTTACGGCCTGTATGGGAACACGTAGCAGAGCATACCTTGCAGTCCGTAGTGTTCATACACCCCATCAAGAACTAGCTCCTCTCTTTTGAATGTCTACCATGAGTTGGAGAAGCCTCACCTATCGACCGCTTCAGACAGGGTATTTGCAGAAAAATGTCTTTTCCAATCGCCCCTTTGCGCTTTTCTGTTAGTAACTCTCTGCACTGTACCGCAACATTTACTTCTATATATGTGCCAAATTTGGTCCACCTAGGTTAACTAGCAGTGAGATATCATGTGAAAGTTACTTCGGTCCTTAAGTTTTGCACACCAGTGTATTTTCGTATAACTTGTATAAGTTCTGCAATATCAGGCTCCTGGTTCTGCCTGACAAAGGCGATCTACACAGTATCAATGCCGAGGTGAGTTCTTGCCATTGAAACCGAAAACAGCGAAGCAAATTGGAATGCTTCAATCAGGGACACTACTTAACATTAGAACCTACGAAAATTAGACAGTGCTTAGCGTTCAAAGAGCCGTCGGATCTTTCCAGAACAGTTCCAAATTTGAGTAGTAGTTTAATAAGGCAGAACTAGACTCACAATGCTTTTCTTCGCGTCACCGCCTTGTGCCAATCGACCACTCACCAGACGCAGTTGGTTCGATTTCTTGTCGAAGTTTATTGAGATCGTCAGGCTGGAATTACTAAGGAATTCGAAGAATTATGGTCAAAGAATTACTGTTCGAATGAAGCAAAGGGTTTCGCTAATGACACGTTCCACTTCTGGACTTAATCACTGAGTTTCTTGCGCAGATCGTAATCGTAACTGAACATCCAAGGCAGCTTGAATACTGTTGAAAATGAACTTCGGATGAAGGGATTCCGCACAAGAAATAAAATATGTCAAGGTGTTACTAAAACCGTTAGGAAAGAATGGATGCGAACACTGAAGTGCTCCTAGCGGTTGCCAATAATCTCGTTCCAACGGATCTCCAATGTAACCATTAAGAGATGAAAGGGTGCGGTGTAGCGAAAGGATAGGCACAAATGTCCGGTACTAAAGCAGCATATGGGAAGACGTCAGTCAAGATTTCCTAGAGATAGCAATGACCCTTAGGGGGTAAGTGTGCCATATTGGTTATTACTGCTTATGAGGCAGGACAAGAAGACAGATAAAACCGCATTCCTTAAGTGTTTTAATTGGTGACATGAAAGTGAATTGGTGGGTTTGGCTACGTTCAGCTGCACGCCATAAATGAACTAATAAAAAAGTTATGTGTCTAGAAATGCCAAGTGCGTTGGCATGAGAATAATTGGAGAATGTCGAAGGAAACCAATATAGAAGAAGAAGTTAAAGAAAGCAAGCTCCGTAGAGACGCTGCTGCTCAAATTAACAGGCATTTTTCTAAAATACCACTGAATCTGAACATACTAAGCATCAACCCCAGTACCTCGTTATGATTCAAAGATAGCCTTCCCCTTCTCTTCATTCATTGTCCCTTTTCCTAACAAGACGCCTCAAAATCGCTAAGCCGCGTATTTTTCACATTTGCCCAAGCACTTCCCAAAAAACGTCATTAGCAATGAGATTACTAGTCTGAGGCATCTCCTGCAGTGTCAACTCTTCCCCAGGGAGCGGAAGCGCTCGTAAACTGATTTGCATTGCGAATATTCGCGCATACGTTACTGTACGACAAATGACTGACGGGCTCGCACTGGCGTCAATCAACAATGCGTTGTACTGCCATGAGTGGACTGCTGCCTGATGTATAAATATCCGCATGACCTCAGAATAATTAAAGTCATTCAAGGAGCGGATCCGCAGAGATTCCCTACTAGATGGAAAATCCATCACACTTTTGAATCAGGAACAAACGACTACCCTAGAAGCACAAGGTCAGGATCAAATTGGCCGTCAATTTTGTTCGAAAATTAGACAAGAAATGCGATGAGGAACGCAGTGGGGAGAACAAGCAAAAAGCACCTAGAAATCGTTAAAGTTTCCTTGCGAGGTCGACGTTT